GAAATAGAAACTCATGGAGCAGTCCACTTGGCCAACAAAACCACAATAAGAAGACGCAGTTTCAATAGAGGTAACTTGGGCTACATGCGTGCATAAGGTGTGCCTACTTAGACCGGTCTTTGTAAATTTTTCAAGAGAAGTCCACCTATGTGCACGAGCAGCCTTGGAGATTGCAAAAAAAGACAGTTATCAGAAAACTTGCCCGTCGGGTCAGTAATTGGTTTGCCCTCCTCATAGGGTGGAAGTTTATTGAACAAGTTCTTGCCCTCTGTAGCCGGAATTTGATACGGACTGCCCTGGACAGAAATGTTCTCTCTAGAGGGTAGGTGGGTAGGAACATGAAAGGGTAAACATATACTGTCTCAAGACGAGTCAGAACTTAAATCGGAAAGGCATGATCGTAATGAAGGTAAGTCTCCTAACCATTTGCAAACCTACATCAGACTTTGTGTAGCGAAAAACAATTGCGAGTAGACTTCTAGGGCCGTTGGAATTACGTTGCATTTATAATGCAGCCTAGCAGAAATACTAAATCAAAGACCAGAATTACTGATTTCGTAGAAGTTAGTCCCCTGGGAGCTCAGACTGCAAAGCACTCGACTGAAATTTTTAACAGTCTGTAAAAGCGAAAACCAAGTCCTGTTTGTCGCCAGACTTGGGAACAGGTACAAATATCCAACATACATCAATGCAGAGGTCTGAAAATTTAATAATATAAAAGGTGTATTCACCTAGCCAGAATTATGTAATTCGTATTACAAATATCACATAACGTCTGTTCGTTAAACCAAATGAAAAGTCCGTTGACATACTTGTAAAGACCAGTAAAGTCAGTTTTTTCGGTAACAAGTTTCTTCCATTGCTCATGAGTTTGGTTGATCATCTTGAGGGCAAATTCCTAGAAAGGTGAGGAGAGAATACGGGTTAGCCAGAACAATAAATGCTCCCTTGACTTGCCAACTTCAGACTTATATAAAGGCCAGCGTATGGAAAATGAATGGGTGAACAATAGTAACTGGGAAGTTCCGCCTGGTGGTTCTGGCGGAAAAGTACAGCAGTCTCAAGACAGCATAGTGGTCAACCGAACAAAAATCAGGCTGTAACTAAAAGAAACTCACTCTGTTTTTGAAGTTTTCACCAAAGGCGAACTCGTTCTTGGGTTTTCCAGTCGGCACTTTGTAGTTTCTGAACCAGTCGCGAGTAGCCTAACAGACAATAGAAGGGGGTGCAGGCGAAAGTGAACGAGAAATGCAGGGACGCACAGAATAAGTTCGGGAACATTAATCAGGTTGTAAATTGACTTCCTATAAAAAAACCAGGTGGGCTGGAGACATGCCTTAAATTCTGATGTACTTAGTCTAGGTCTACTAATGGTTGAGCCAAGTACCGGTTTCTGTATGCAATACCCGTCTTCACTCAGGTTTAAGTGCACGAAGCACTTCGGGGCCTTTGTTGACATGGTCTTTCAAGAATACCTACTTATAAAGTCACCACTAGCGGGAATTATGGTGTTGATTGGGTTGACCCAATAAATAAAGTCACAAAAATTAACTTCATTTGTTACTTATGAAGATAAACGGTCTCTCGGCATCTCAATGACAACTGGACTTAAGTGAGACTGTGGAAGTAGCCTGAACGACAGTAACATACGCATACGCTGTTGCGTAAACAGAGCTTCTGGGTGGCTGTGGAGTTGGGCGGACGAATAAGTGTGCAGTGGACTACTGCAGACTGAAAAACAGCCGTAGTGTGATACGACGATTGTGCCTCAAACGCGAGCCCCTGTTCATCAAGCTCACGGCAAAGCAAATAGGACCCTACATCCAGGTTCACAGGCGCCTTTAATCAGATCGCCGAATTTTACAGCCAAAATTACAATAACACGAGCGTTTTTTCTCCGCTTCATTACATACAATACTGCACAGCATACGCGGAATGTTAATAAGATAGCCTACTACCTGTCCAATGTCAACATGAAACACATTTAAGAAATAAGGAATTCCTACCTGTAGGAATCCTGGCATATGTTTTTCCACGTCATCAATGTCTAGAAGAGTGAAAATAAAGGGAGAGTAGCTTTTCAAACACACCATTAAGCTTCGCGGCCAGAGGATCCTCGGTGTGGATAGCGATGACTTTCCAGTCGGTCTCACCTGAAAATTTTCAGACAAATTCACAGTTAGTAGGCAGTCAAAGTATTTGCTCGTGTTTACTTTCCATAAGAATATGCTAGAACAATCACCCTTAATGGATAAGAAGATAATAAAGTGTATAGGCGGTTAGCAATGCTATGACAGATGGAAAGTTACCTTCGTCAATCATCGCAAGAATGCCCAAAATTTTCACAGGCACAATACTGCCGCGAGCCAGTATTCTGTTACCAATCTCGCAAACGTCGATCGGATCGTTGTCACCCTTTGCTTTGGTATCGGGATCGACGTGAGACGGATCTTCCCAGGTCTGTGGCAAAGCACCATAGTTCCATATGTAACCTTTGTGAGGAAAAACATTGTTGACGAAACGCAGTTTCCCCTTTTTCACATCCTGTTTGATGGGGTTAAGGATTTCCTCTTTGCAAATTTCCATCTTTGCATTTGACCAACGCGGTATTTCCACCACCATGTTCATGATGCCAGGGGGACCGTGTACGAGAGGAATGTCGTGAAATGGAGAAATTGGCTGATCCTGTTGCACTAATACAAATAAGGAAAAGTAAATTATTCTAAAAAAAACAAACTCGGTATTAAGAGGTAAGATCGAAAGCTTTAAATGGTTTGATTTAAAAACTCGCATTTTAAGGCGAAGTCATCAAGACGATGGTCTATCATGCAAATAAGTTGACGGATGGGGCACATCATTGACTGATAATGTTATTAGTATTCAGCCAGTGAAGGCGAAAATACAAGTTTTCCCTTAGACGTTGACGACTCGGGCTGAAAATTTTCTCACCGCAGAACTGGAGACAGGATGTGCAACAAATCTCAGATAAGTTCGAATGCTGCGCTTCGGAGAATGAAAACTTCATATTAAGTTAGCAAATAGTATATCACATT